TTAAACGTGAAAAACTTTCGTTGGACGAATTTTCTTGTAAACTTGATATTTACTGAGATATCGCACTTTGACGCACTAATGAGCAACCCTGTATAACACAATTTAACTTCAAGTCAAGTTTCAATCAGATGGTCGAGTAAGCATAATTGTTACACTATTTTTTGTAGCTGATGAGTCCGGGCTTTTTGAAAGTTTTTTTTTGCGAAACGACAGGAAGGGATGATTTTCCGCAACGACCTAAACGCCCGAAATGCTCAACAGTTTCACCCAGTATAATATAAGAGTACGATTAGTAGCTAGTCGACCAGATGGTCGATAGGTTGTTATTAACTTCTTGATTTGTTAATATTCTGATGCAGTTTCTATTCTAGTATGCAGAATCAAAAAATCAATGTATAAGTATGGACGCAAATTTTCCGAACCTTTTCTTATTGACTTTGCAATTTCTTTCATAATACTCATAGATGGTGTTGAAAGAAATTCAGCATTTTCAAGAAAGGCACTGTAGTAAAAAAATATTTCAGCAGTCATGATTTATTATCAAACTTAAAAAAATAGTGCGAAAATAGGGCAGTAAATCTTATAAGCGGTCCCAATAGTCACGAAGCGAAATCAGCAGGATATTCACTACGTTTATTTTGTAAAATACAGTCCAGGCCATCCAGCTGTAGAACAGAAACTTGGTAAAGCAATCCAGGAAATACATCCTAAAAAATACCCTTGAAGATACAAATTGAATGCAAACAGCCAGTTTACCTCTTGTTATTAGCTCGCGTTTCTTCCGTAATATCTTCGTATTCTTTGATCAAATACCTTCTACCATAATCACAACAATTGGCGTAATACGTGTATCGCTCGTCTTCAGTTAAAGGTAGTTGATTAATGTCGAATGCATCCTTGTCTTCATCTGGTAGATTCGTATGAAGTCGTTTGCTGTTATCGTTCACGAACAGCCATTGGTTGAAGATGAATTGACTCACAGCTATGTTGGCAATGTAGATCTTCCTTTGCAATTTGAGCAAGCTGAAGACAAAACCTGAAATTGGCGTTGGATCAAAGTGAGCAGACTCATACATACAATGGAGATCGGCCGGC